TAGGGGCCTAATCAAATGAGAACTGATTAGTTTGTGGTAACTGTGAGATCCAATCTCAACCACAAATCAACGGATAAATTAGGAAATTAATAATTATGGTAGTTTGAATTAAAATTATAATTAGAAGGCATATTAGGTATTTTAAAAAAACTCATCTCTCCTCTCTCATCTCTCATCTCTCCGACCTCCAATCTCTGGCCTCCGCGTATATCACAATGGGTATCACATTGTGTATCTTTGTTTTTAAGGTTTGAGTTGGTATCATAGTTGGTATCACAATGGTATCACAGTATATCGTAATGGGTATCATATTGTGTATCTTTGTGATTACTTGGTACCTGTTGGATTAATGTTCACCGGAGGCCGGAGATTGGAGGTCGGAGAGATGAGAGAGGAGAGTGGAGTTTTTTAAAAATACCTAAAATGCCCTCTAATTATAATTTTATCTCAAACTACCATAATTATTAATTGGGGGTCCATTCAAGAGAGAACTGATTAGTTTGTGGTAACTGTGAGATCCAATCTCAACCACAAATCAACGAATAAATTAGAAAATTAATAATTATGGTAGTTTGAGTTAAAATTATAATTAGAGGGTTTTTTAGGTATTTTTAAAAAACTTCTCTCTCCTCTCTTCTCTCTCCTCTTCCGACCTCCTATCTCCGGCCTCCGGTGAACAAAAATCCGACAGGTACCAAGTAATCATAAAGGTAACACAATGTGATACCCATTGTGATATACTGTGATACCATTTGAGTACCACTGTATATCACAATGAGTATCACATTGTGTATCTTTGTGATTATTTAGTACCTGTCGGATTTTTGTTCACCGGAGGCCGGAGATTGGAGGTCGGAGAGATGAGAGATGAGAGAGAAGAGAGGAGAGAAGAGTTTATTAAAAATACCTAAAATGTCCTCTAATTATAATTTTAACTCAAACTATCATAATTATTGATTTCCTAATTTATCTGTTGATTTGTGGTTGAGATTGGATCTCACAGTTATCACAAACTAATCAGTTCTCATTTGATTAAGCCCATATATATATATATATATATATATATATATATATATATAAAGAGAGAGGGAGACAATGAGAGAGGGAGATTTTGATACAAACCACACAAATTAATCTCAACCGTCCTTCTAGTCTAATGAATATTTGGTTTAAAAATATTTCAAATGTTTCCTAATATAAAATGTTTATCATTGTTGTTCTCAACCATCAAATTTATAGATAATACAACTAGCATCAGATTCAACACTACGATAGAAATTCTTATTACTTGTCTTGTAACACTCATATATCATGTACAACATTAAATCGGATATGACTAAAAAGAATTGACATCCAAACCTTAGTAACTTGTTAGGATTAAGGCTCCAGATCTTGGTTCTTATCGGATCCATAACTTAAATAAAGTGTGAGATCAAATATTTGATTTGATTATTCTCCATCCAATTAGGAGAATCTGATTGACCTATCCTCTTGGTCACTCCATCTTGATTTTTAAGAGGCCACTTCAAGTATAAGTTATTTTAATATATGATGTTCTTAGTTAATAAATTTATGTAGTCGGAATAGAAACATATAGGATTTTTACTTGTAAAAGTTTTTAAACTATCTGTATAGATCCAAGAACGAAAAGCCTTCAACGAAATCGAAGACTAGTTGAAATGAGATTAAAATCGTCACCAAAGCGGATTGGTTTCTTATCTAGTCGAAAGAAGAACAATACAAGATAAAGTTAAATAGTAGTATGAAAAATTCTACTACTGGCAAGCCGAATTTTGGAGTGCAAACTTGTCCAACAAGTTTGGCTCACAAACTCTTCCAACACTCATCTTGGTATGGAAACATGATTAGCATGTCAGCCAAAGTCAGCTCTAAAACATTGTTTTATGGTGTCATACTTCCTTTATTGTTCTCTCGGCATACAAAAGGATGTGATAGGACAATAAGCTTCTACATCAACCACAGATTCCGAAATAAAGGGTACAAGCATGCATAGATCAGTAAATTAGATGAAGACATGTGTTAAAGTTGGATCGTAGCATTGAATACAATGTTGGCTATAAAAGGGCACTCTTGTCAATATTGCTACTTATGTATTGTCATAGAACTTTTATGTGATTGTTTCTTAAGCAAAATCGACGTCAACATCTGAAGAATTATCTTTGTCCTCTAGATCTGAAAGAGTACCTTTTTCTTTCACTCTTTCAGTATTAGCAAATTTGTCACTAATTAGATTGTTTACGATCACAAGTCTTGTCTTCCTAAATTCCCCAACAAATCTGTAATTCTTTGTTTTAATACAAAATATATAATTAAAAATGAAAATTTGTTATGTTGTATTCAACCCCCCTTTCTATAAACACATTATGTGTAAGTCATTATATCTCAGGACCATCAAGTGGTATCAGAGCAGTTTTCTTAGTCTCATAAACAAGATCCAAAATAGACTTCTACAGCCATTGATAATGACTCTCTATCCAAACCTTCTTGTTTTCAAAAGGATAATTTTTCCCTTTGAAAAAATTGGATGACACTCTTTCTTGAAGGAGCTGACAACCAAATCCTACGTGTTCTAAAAAATGGTTTGTATGTTCCTACAACCTTTTCTCCAGGTGATAGAGATGAAAATACCCAAGTCATCGAACCAGGATGACAAATAGTAAAGACTCCAGTTCTATGGTCAGAAGAAGACAAGAACCAAGTTGCAGTTGATATCATATCTAGAACTATCATCTTAATTTCCTTTCCATATGATGTCTATCACTCTATCAAGAATCTTACCACTGGAAGAAATATGTGGAACACCCTTACTATTTTGTGTGAAGGAACTTCCGAAGTAAAGCAAAGAAAAAAGGATTAGTCTTATCAAACAGTACGAACTGTTTGTATGTCATAAGAACAAATCTCTCACAGACGTCTTTCAATTTTCTTCTAAATGATCTTCAAATGCATGATAAAGTTTTTGATAATGTTGAAGTACTTTGAAAATTTATGGATAGTTTACTTGACATATAGAAAAATATAACTTTTTGTTTGAAAACCTATA